TCAAATGTTTCCTGTTATAACTGTGGTAAAGTTGGACATACTTATTCAACATGTTTTTCAAAACGGAATATCTTTTGTTATCGCTGTGGCTACAAAAATAAAACAGTAGTGAATTGTCCTAATCGTTTAAAAAACGGACTACAGGTTGTACCTCAAGGTCTGGCTACGGGCCGCAGTCTTACAAATGTTCAAAATTAGCCAGGACCATCTCGAAAAAACAATTCACAAAGTACAGGAAACAAAATTAACTTCTATAGCAGAATGGAAACTTTTAACACAAGGCATAAACGATAAATGACATTTGAGTAAGAGGTGATTGTGTCAAAATAACTAAATATCGGTTCCAACCGTTACACTGCACTACCTCCGGTTAAAAAAAAATTAATTTTAACTTGGTTAGAACGTCAGAAAATTCGGCTAAATTTCTGACAAGGGTAGCGTGCTCACCAGTGTCGGTCTTTAAACCTCGTTGTTAGAAATAGAACGAAGTTAAATAAATTAATAAAAAAAAACCTGTCATTAATTAAACATACATGTTTAAAAAGTTTGGTCAATCTCATTTAATTTACTACTGTAAAATAATTTAATTCTGTAAATATCGGCCGTAATTTAAAATTTCCATTCTATCCTGAGAGGTAAATATAATTATTTTTAATTTCAAAGAAGTTAATAGCAAACTAACATTTTGACAAAGTTTTTAGTTAATTTCGCAAGTGCTTTCCGACTTTTGTTTAAAATTCTTTCCCACCCTCTTATTTTGTTCAAAACTTCAGTAACTTAATTACGAAGAGTTAATCCATGATATAAAGTACAGCTGGTATATAATTACAGGGTGTTTTTGTGGAAAACATTGATTTTATTATCAAAGTTGCCATATAAAAAATAATATAGTTTCTATGTAGCCATATTTCCCTGGTATAATTTCCCATTTACTATTACTGCTAATTATTATAGATTAGGCAAGAATAACCTCTTCTACTTCTATTTTATTAGATATCCTTGTTGTTAATGAGCCTAAATAAATTTCATCAATAGATATGTTTTATACTGTCCGAATTTATAGTCATGATTAGACCTAGGAATATATGCACCCAAAAAGTAGTTAAATATGCGCATATATATGCCGCAAAATACTTCAATATATGCGTAAAAAATTGAAAAATATGCAGAGCATATGCAATAAAAGTAATTTGTTATTTGATCGAAATAGTTTATTAATATTTATTATTTGTTTTATTTTACAATACCTAATATAATACTTAATAATTATTTAATTATTAACTAATTTTATCTACAAATCAACATTATTAAAAACGAATGAACAATTAGATGTTTTTCTAAATTATCTGTATTAAATGATTGTCTCCTATCAGTAAGTATGTACTTGTACAAAGAAAAACTCCTTTCGACATCTACAGAAGTAATAGGTGCAAACTTAAATTTTTCTGAAATATCTGGATGAATAATATCTTCAAAGTTACCAGAATAAATATAAGCAAGGTTTCTTAAAACAATAAATCCTTCATTTTTTAAAATTACATTTGAACATTTATGAAAAATCGTCTTTCCAATATCGCCCTGAGCATTTTTACAATCTGATTCAAACGTCTTAATTAGATTAACGGAAGTCACCAAAGGTAAATTTTTTTGTTCTAAATCTAATATAATTTTGGGTACAAATGCATAATTTTTTAAAAAATACTAATTGCTTTGGTAATATGTGATTTTGAAACAACTTCTTTGTATTAGATATTCCCTTAGATGAATCATCAAAATCAAATATGATTTCTTTAATTTTTTCATAATTATCTGCGTAAAAAAGGCAGCTTTAAGCCAGGTACCCCACCGAGTAATCACAGGTTCCGGTGGCATCTGTAATTCAGGAAAACTCACAGTTAAAAAAAGTAGGGCAACTTTACAACGTACGCATTTATTTAATTTAATTAAAACTTCAACATCTACAGGAATTTATTTGTTTTAGATACCATGTAAAAAAAAGTTTCAAATCGACCAACACGCGAAAACACCCTCACATATAGCAAAGCAGAAATCTAAAGACACTCGCAGACAAAGTCAACTTCCCTTGAAACAATATTTAGAATCTGGATCGTCTAGAAGTGAACAAGCTATTTTTAATGAAGATTTATGCAAAGCTTTAGTGACTTCTAATATCCCTTTAATACGATTAAATAATCCAAATCTCCGATCATTTTTGCAAAAATACTGTACATTTAATATTCCAGAGCAAAGTATATTACGCAAACGTGGTGTTGACAGTTTGTATATTGAGACTCGTGAAAAAATTCGTGATATTACCGTTGGAAACCATTTCTACATTATTGTGGATGAAACAACAGACTCTTGTTGTTGATATATAGCCCATTTAATGATAGGTTCATTACGCGAAGAAATGCAAATTAGATAAAACAAATAACTTGACAATAACTCCTTTTTTCTTCCGGAAGCCGTTTCAACAGAAAAATGTTTATTGCTATTATCCGATGCTGCCCCGTACATGGTAAAAGCCGCACAAAATTTAAAAATGTTTTATGAAAACTTAATCTATGTTACATGTTTGGCTCATGGCCTTAACAGAGTTGCAGAAGAAATTAGGTCTAACTTTCCTTTAATAAATGATTTAATTAGTAATGTAAAATTGTACAAAGAAAAATTTCCTGAATTACAGATGCCATCGGAACCTGTGATTACTCGGTGGGGTACCTGGCTTAAAGCTGCCTTTTTTTACGCAGATAATTATGAAAAAGTTAAAGAAATCATATTTGATTTTGATGATTCATCTAAGGGAATATCTAATACAAAGGAGTTGTTTCAAAATCACATATTACCAAAGCAATTAGTGTTTTTAAAAAATTATGCATTTGTACCCAAAATTATATTAGATTTAGAACAAAAAAAATTACCTTTGGTGACTTCTGTAAATTTAATTAAGACGTTTGAATCAGAATGTAAAATTGCCCAGGGCGATATTGGAAAGACGATTTTTCATAAATGTTCAAATTGTCAAATTGATTTATTGTTTTAAAAAACCTTGCTAATATTTATTCTGGTAACTTTGAAGATATTAATACTATTCATCCAGATATTTCAGGAAAATTTAAGTTTGCACCTATTACTTCTGTAGATGTCGAAAGGAATTTTTCTTTATACAAGTACATTCTTACTGATAGGAGACAATCATTTAATACAGATAATTTAGAAAAACATCTAATTGTTCATTCGTTTTATAATAATGTTGATTTGTAAATAATATTAGTTAATAATTAAATCATTATTAAATATTATATTAGGTATTGTAAAATAAAACAAATAATAAATATTAATAAAATATTTCGATTAAATAACAAATTACTCTTATTGCATATGCTCTGCATATTTTTCAATTTTTTACGCATATATTGAAGTATTTTGCCGCATATATATGCGCATATTTAACTACTTTTTAGGTGCATATATTCCTAGGTCTATTCATCAGTATTCCCATTAGTATAAATTATATTTCGCCAAAAGTTACTGCCCTATTAGTTAAGTGATCACCATAGTTAAAAACGTCGTTTGAACCGGGTACAATAGTGTCGCTTCGACTACCGTAAAGTACACATACTTGTGTTAAAATTGTAGTTCGGTACTGACTAGAAAGAACATTTAAATACCAGCCCTTAAAATACAGTCCACACCCTTCAGAGTCGGTGCTTGCACGCATAAGAAGACGAGTCTGCTTCACGAAGCCAGGATAATAAAAATCGAAAGGTAAGACCTGATTGGCGAAGCTTTAAAATCTTACTTAAGAACCGCGACATACCGGTATCTTAGCCATAACCTATTCAAATACAGTACGACTATAAAGATATATTGTGTCCCCTTCTGTCTCTGCAAAAAGGGAATGTCGCGATGCCTATAACGATTGTTCCAATCAATTTTTTTTTTAAGAAAGTGAAGGATTTTGAGTGGCCCCAAGCTAAGTAGATGGCCCTCTTCTGTTTGACATGCTCCTAAGTATGGTGCCCTTGGATTCTGCAGTGCTACAAATTCAATCAAAAAGTGAAAGGAGGTTTTATCCTCCTCATCAGAAACTCTGCACTCACTATCTTTACTTCTCTCTGTTAACTAAGGTGACATTTGATTGGGATAAAGATCTCTGTACCATATATTCCACTATAGCAAATTGCGAACAGAGTTTTAAAAAAATAGAAGACTATATCACTTTAACTCTCAACAGTGCGTAATAGTAGTGAAAAAAGCGAAGAACGGTCGGGTTCTTTCTTTGATAAGTAGACAGAGTAAATAATACTGCCTATGGTACTGTTTCCACAATTTTAAAAAGAAGTGGTCAAACCTATTTTAAAACACAAAGATGTCGACTCAGCTATCCCGAATACTACGATGTTGCCGAAATTTCCGACATATCTATTTTATTATAGTCGTTCATAATTATCATTATCATATCATAATTGTTTCGGGAACTCCTGAATCAAAAGTAACGATACACTTTATACAGATAACATAGAAGAGTGTCTATGCAATGTAGAATTTAAGAAAAATGCAAAGTTTGCAGTCAAAATAATGTTATAGTGTGCTATATCTTCGAAGTGTTGAGCCAGGTCATATATGTTGGTCATGTTGAAGGCGAAGGACTTACTAATAGACACTCTATCGACATATTGCGTTTGTCAGTCCAAAATAACAATGCTAGGTACGTGTTCTCATATTGCGGTTGTAGTATGATATTTGGGTCATTGATTTTGCGGACCCTTGCTCTGCTCGTCTCGTAAATATTCACTCGTTATACAAATTAAAACATTTCGTAACTGTTCACATAAATTACTACTATAGCGAAATAATAAAATTTATTTATGTATCGCATGCAGCAAATTTGAGTTTACTCTCGATAAATCAACATAGTATATAATTCTAGTTCTAATAAATAATATATCAATTCAGTTTAATAATAAAATTATTGTGCTAGTTGGATAATAACTTACCATAATTGACAAATAACAGTAAGCACATCAGTAACAAAATATAACTCTTCATTTTGAACTTTACATAATAAAGGTTTCCACGAGAATGAAAACAGTAAATCGTGAACAGTTACACTAAAATGAGGATAATCAAGTGTTTTCAATTGTTTTTATACTTTACAAATTATCATGTTTTATCTCTAGATGTTATTCGCTTAATTCATTTTTTATTATTACTTAAAACAATAGCAAAAAAATTGATATATAGTGGCTGGAGACTTATCTTATTTTTTCGGAGTGAGCAACCAGCCAGAGAAGAATGTAAGTTATTGTACGGCATTGTCTTTATATTTTTACTATTAGTATATAGTATGAAGCAAATGAAAAAATTCAACTTATTATTTCATGAAGTTAAGAAAAAACCTTAAACTCGTCGATTTTTATATTTAAACTAGTCATCCGTGGTCTTTTTGTTGGTCAAAATCGCTTATAAAGACCTATAAGCGTAGTATCCCTGTGAATCCCAAAATAATTAAAAAACGAAGATTAAAAAAAAATAATAAAAAACTAAAGAAAAATATAAAAAAAATACAAAAGAAAAATAAAAAAAATATGTATATACATATATTTAAATTTAACAACTGCATGTTTACAATATACTCTCATTGGAGCAATAAGTAAATGTGTTATATGATGGTAACTTGAATAGAGAAATCATCCAGTGACGAATCTCTTATCGATACCATGGCTATGGTTGTTGGCTAAAGAATAATCCTGGTGGTATATCTACTGCATCAGGTCCACTGTCATTGTAATCTTCTTGTGACATTTAGAGGGATGTTTAACAGCGCTATGTTTAGATTTTCATTGTCTTATAGTATGTTTTTTCCCCGCTCCGACATGTGAGGTTCGAGAAAACCCAACGTTATAAATAAATTTTAATATATTTTTTTAAATATTTGAACCTTTTTTATTTTATTTTTATAATATATTTACTGTCTTTTATAAATTAAACACAAAAATTGTTAATATTTTAAATTTTTTTTTCAAAAATAGTTAAATCCAAAATTTAACTCATATTTTACTTACAAAGTGTGGTACTTAACCAAATTTAAGTGAAAAAACAAAATCTTAGCTATATAATTTATACAACATGAGAACATGAGAAAAGTCAAAATACTATTCTTAAAACTAGAAGAAAAATCATCAAAATATGTCAAAAAATATGTAAAAATCACATACTTTGATTTTCTTATACTATACGGAGAATGGTCGCACTGCGCAGCTTTCTGAGTGCCTTTTAAAAGGAGATAGAAAACTCCGCCATTTTGAACCATTATTACGTGTTGCCTACATCTTGACGCAATATTTTTATTAGGTGCGTTTTAATCATCCGCTTCTGCTTCGGAATTGTCGATTTTCTTGTTTTAATCTGACAGGTTAAAACGACTAAACCGACAATTCCGGAATCAGAAGCAGATGATTAAAACGCACCTGATATTTTGCTTGCTGCTGTCAGTGTCAGTGAATATTATTTTTGAAGTCACAGTTTATTGCTAAAGAATCAGCTCACTCGGACCAGTTGAAAGTTCCAAAATAACATCCACTCCAGGGATACAAATTCAGGATACGCAGAAGACTGCTGTTTTATTGTAGGCGGTTGTCATATATTGTATTATCCGAGTTGCACAGTGTATAAACTGAAACATTGAGATCAAAAGAGCCGACGCAGAGTGAGCGATCTGATTCTTTAGCTATAAACTTTGTCACAGGGTTCAAAATGGCCGCGCCCTATGTTGGGCGTGTCGGACCTCTCTCTTGCCTCGTATAGTAATCAAAGTATGTGGTAAAAATACAGTAGTAGTTTGTTGTCAAGAGATAATTTGCATTTACGTCCTAGGAGCTAGGATATTTCTCTTACTTTTAAATTTAGTAATTACCTATTTGTTTAAATGTGCTTTTTCCAAGTTAGCTACTGATCCTTGGTATTTTACTTCGGTCTTAATGAGAATTTAGATGTTGTTAAAACTAACAGGAAAACATACTGTTCGCTTATTTGTGAAAATCACTTATGCGAATTTAGTTTAAATAATTTTAATTTTCCATTGCTCAAACCAGACTTTTAATACACCTAGATGATATTAAAGTTGTTGCAATGGAATATCTGGATCAATCTGTATTGATAGGAAGACTGTATCATCTGCGAACATTTTAGTAGCAATTAATAGGGGCTTGAAAGAGATTTTTTAATTTTTTGCAATAAGCCAATATGTCAGACCTTAGCAAATGCTTGAGCAACGTCTAGATGGTATTTACAAAATGTTTGTTTTTCAAAACTTTTGATAATTTGGTTAATTATTGTATACGTTTGCTGGACGGTCGAGTGGTGTTCACTGAAACCAAATTGATCTTTAGGGATTAGTGTGGAGAAGTGCCTTTTCAATAACAATTTTTCAAATAATTTGGATGGTATTGGCAATAAGCTAATTAGACGATAACTGATTTTATTCCACGTTTTTCCAGGTTTAGGTATTATTATGATCTAAGCAATCTTCTATACCACGGAAAAGTATGACAATCTCAGCATGCTGTTGAATATTATTGTTAACAGCGCCATAGTCTACCTCGGTAGGTATCTTAATATTTTTGCAGTAATAAGATCGTAGACTATAGCTTAATGTTAAATTAATTTTCTTATTTTTTAAGTTATTTCGTTAGGTGAAAAGTACTTGATAGTGAGCGACATCTGGCAAGGTACATCTGAACATTTTTCAATTTCCCTCTCGTTATTGTTTATTGAAGGTTCACAAGGTGTAAAAACCTGGACAAGATATTTAGCAAAGTCACTTTCGATCCATGTCCTATTAGTATTATTTCTTATAGGTGGTGTTCTTACTTGAAGTCTTTTAAACAAGTGGCCTTCAAGAGAGTGTGTTCTTCTTTACTGAGATTGGTCAAATATTGTTCAAAAGAAACATTTCTTGTATTTGCTAGTGTGTTGTGGAGTTTGCGTTTTAACCTTTTATATGTAATTATATCATCGTTGTTACGTGATCTTTACGATCTCTTTCGTGCTCGACGTTTTTCGGTTACCAATTAATGGGTATGTAGTGGTGGTATATTAGATATGTCCATTGTTATTGGGTTTACTGGCTGAGTTGAATGCTATGCTGCTTGTTGGATTAGTGTGGTGAAATAATTAGTTGCCTGGTCTACTTCGTCAGATTCCTATATTTTTATGTTTAGATTTGTATGTTCATCTAAGTAAGTATGGAAGATCTCCCAATTTGCCGCATTTGTGATAAGCGTTGCTATATTTGGTTTAATTATCACGTGATGCTAGTTTTCTTTCTTGGAGTTTCAACATTAATCTTCATATACACAGGTATTTTATATTAAAGATATTTTTATTATTTTCTTTTGATTCTGTAATTTCTGCTGTTTAATTGAATAATGTAGGTTTCTAATTACTACTCTATATGCTTTATCCTGTTTGACTTGATATATCACTTTATCGTCTTGTAGCTGTTTGATTAATTTTCTATAAGTGTCTGGAGTGTTTACATTAATTTTAATTATGTTATTTGATAGACTTTTAAAATGGTATTGTTTTTCTTCCAGTGTATTAGCTAAATATACTACTATTTCTTTGTAATTTGTTACTCCGTAGTTATATATTGGTGGAGGATGGAACTCTTTTGGATCTTTTGGTCGTTTCTTTGTTTTACTTGTCGAAGCATAATTAGTTTTAGTGCTTCATAATCTTCTGACATGTCTCGGAGTTGCTCATAATATTATCTATTCTAGGTATCACATGTAAATGGGGTGTTTATTTTGTTTACCTCTATAAAAAGATAGGTTCTTTTTCTTGTACTTGCCAATTGTATTTAGTAATTATTATAGAGTCCTTTTCGGGTTTTTCTCGAAAGAAATTTTCTGTATTATTTTTTTGATTGACCGATTTGTTATAGCTACTATCTAAATATTTGTTTGATAGAGTTGGGAATCTTCATTATTGATAAAGGTGGTCATATTTGTGTTATAATTTAACTGATTTTTTGGATATTGTAAAGCTGGATTTATAATTTGTTGTTGCATTAATTGTTGTTGTAAAAAATGCTGCTGTGAAAATTGCTGTGTAAATTGTTGCTGTGGAAATTGTTGATGCTGGAATTGTTTTGGTAGAAATTACTGTTGCACTGTTTGTTGTTAATAGGCTATTTACTATTCAACCTCCTCGCGATTAGAAAATCAAGCGAATACTATCCTTACTATATGGTATGAAACTAAAATATAATAAAATCTATGCGGTTTGGCGAAAGGACTCACTTCCCTCAGTCAAAAAATTCAAATAAAAACAAGTGCCCTATAAGATATTTCTTACGTGTCATCATTTGTATGTCTGTGATGACGTCTTCGATGATATTTTTAAATAGAACTGTGGGTTATACACAGAGATGGGAAGTGCTCGAATAAATTGCACTTAAAATTATTATACTCAAAATACTCAGTAATTGGTACTCGTGACTACTTTCATTCAGATGGGACTCAGTATTTATTCCTACAGCTAACGAGTATGAGTACCGATTGTGTCTTAAAGAACTACACTGATACTGGTTACATTACTATTTTACGTTTTCAGTTGTGCCAGACACTTTTTACAGTGTATTATAGGTGTGGTGTGAGTTGTTATGATTACGAAAGGTTATTTGATAATTTGATGTTTGGTGTTGACTGTCCAAAAATGCAATTAATATAAGTACGAGTCAATTTATATATACGTTAATTGAATTTTGAGTTTTAAAAGATTACATTTATTATTTACAGTATAGTAAATGCAAATACGACGTTTATTTCAAGTAAAAAATGTCCCATGAATAAATATACAATTCTCCAAGGCTACCTAGCTAAAAAATCCATAAATGTCGGCATATTCTTCATTCGAAAAGTATACAGCATGATGCAAATTTAAATTTATCACCACTAATCTAGAGTCAAGTGTAGTAAGCTTTAAATATAGTGGTGCCCAAATTCTTTTTCAAAGTTATTCGAGTTATTTAATAACCTTACACACGCCCTATCAATTGAGCTCAAACAGAATAAACAAGTAGATAGAATACCTAGATACAACGTTACATCTTTTGA